CTAATATATTCACCCAAGAATTCGGGGTGAGTTGCCAAACGCCTAAGCCATACCCCCTAAGTATGGCTTTGATCGTGTTGTGAAGGGGGAAGCGGACGCCGGCTAGGAAAGCCGCCTCATAGCATCCAAACCAACCGTTAGCGTTGGGCTGGTCATCTTCCCATACAACCGTCCCGAACTCCCCCGGCACGGTTATCTTGTACCCTCCACCAAGCGGTCGCTTGGTAATAAAGTCCTGAAGTGAAGACCGCATGAGGGCACGGTCCTTCAAGGAGACGGCGATCATGAGAGGGTCGTTTCGGCTTTGCCACGAAGGCCTCTCCGCCTCCTCGCTATCTTCTGATACGGTTAAGTAGCTGGAGCTACTACTTTCAACCCGACCGTCATCGAAGCCGGATGGGGAGTTGGGAGCATCATTGGCAGCTTCTGGCTGCTCAGCCCCCTCAGCCGGAGAGGTCTCCTCGTTGTAGGAGCCTAGAATGCTATCGCTTGGGGTGGCGGGGGTACCGCCGGATGGTTCTCTAACCTCCTCGTCTGGGCCTCGAGTTTCAGGCGATAACTCATTCGAGTCCCCGCCTCTGTAATTGGGGTCCATAGTTGTTCCCCTAATTCTGGCCATGGTGTCCTGCACAGACACGGAGTCGGTCGATACAGACGTTGAAAAGGGGAAATTCCAAAGATCAGAGGCGGCAGATCCAGTTCTAGACTCAGCCGTACTAATTGACCGGCTGAGTTCACAACTATGGTCTGGGTATGGGTATAAAGGGTCCATCTACCTATGGGACTTATAAACAAAAATGCAAGAAAAAGACGCAAACGGAAATACATGGAAAAGCGAGAAAGAATAGAGACGGTACCTAGAGTAAAGGGTTGAAAACCTCAAGAAATTTCTTGGGGATGCTTGCGAAGACACAGGCGGTTTGAATACCGGCTGGGTTCTCTGAGGTACCCTCTCGAAAAACTTTTGCTTGCTTGCAACTACACAGGCGGTCTGGAAACCGGCTGCTCTTACAACTATCAAATCTCCGTGTGCTCTGAATTTCAAGTACCGGATGCTCTCAAATGCCAGATGTTCTCAAAATTCAAGAAATTTCACAAAGTTTGTAAATGAGCTCTCGTGTGCTTCCTCCCCTATTTATAGGGGTTGTCCCGGAAGGTGAAGAGGCGCGACCCTTCCCTTTCTGCTTTTCCCTCTTCAGTTAGAATTTGAAGGGGTTTCGCAAAAAAAAAAAAAAAAAAAAAAAAAAAAAAAAAAAAAAAAAAAAAAAAAAAAAACCTCCGTCGGCTATCTTCTCAGGTGCCACGTGGCACCTTGCCACGTCAGCACCTGAGAGGGGCAAATGTTTGGGGTAAAATTACCCCAGCCACGTGGCTCAATGGCTGAGCGACACGTGGCACCTTGCCATTGGTCAGCAGGGCTCCAATCCCCTGCTGACACGTGTCCTAGGAACCCTAAATGGGGAACCAATGCTCCCCACTATAAATAGTGGAGGAATCCTCATTAATGGGTATTCAAGAGATATTGAATTGACATTCAATACAATCATAAATACATTTACACCAAACCCGAGCAATCTTAATTGCGGAATTCTCCCATTACGCGAGAAGTAATTACTCTTTTACACACTTTCTTCCTCCCGTACATCACTGACTTGATCGTCGGAGGCGGAGTTCCACCCAACCGGAGTCTTCGTGGTTTTGCAGGTATAGGCGGTCGAAGGGCATTCTTGGAATTGTAACTCTCCCGCAGGACACATCAAAAAACCCCGAAACAATTTTCATTTTAGCATTATCTATGGAAATCACTCTCAACATAATTTATGTTTCTCATTGCACAATATATAATTATAATTTTTTTTTTTTTTTTTTTTTTGAGACAAATGCATAATTATTATTTGACATATATATGATTTGGACAAATTCTAACATAGGATAATCGTTTGTTTTGAGCAGTTTGATGTTCAAATAATCATGAAAAAAAATAATAAAGCAAAGTACGTTGGATATCAATAAGACAATGACATAAACATAAAATAAATGGCAAGGATAAACATGATATCGAAAAAAAGTAGAGAGAAAGACAAACTCACCAATCAAATGGGGCGCTGGACTGAGAATGGTGGTAATTTAGAGTTACACTACATTATTCCCGTACGATACACGATTTTAATAAAATAATTATAATGTACAACTCGTATATATAATGAATCTTTTCAATTTTATCATAAATTTATTGGAAAGAGATTTATTAAAAGGAATACAGTTTGAATATTTCAAAATATTTCTAGTCGTTTGAATATTAGTATTAAGGAATTGGGGAGAGAGAATGATAAATCTTTAAAAAAAATAAAGGAGTATATTTACTATTCAATTTACTATACTCCGATTTTCTAGATTAAAGTTGTTGAAAGAATTTACTTAGCTTGTTTTCGAAGTAAAAAAAAAAAAAATCCTTAAAAAAAAATCACAAAAAAATGACATCATCAATGTTTTTGGGCGGGAAAAAATTTCATAAGATAGCAACACGTATACAGTTTTGAAGAGAAATGATGTCAGCAATGTTTTGTTCTAGTAATAGTTATAGATTATACAGAGTAATAAGAACATTTAATTGTTGAATAATTCACAAAGTAAGAGCACTTGTATCGAATGTTATAACAAATGGAAGGTGGTTGGTTTAGTACGGAGTATATATTTATACTTAGATAATAACATATTAAATATAAGTAATTATGAAGGAGCTTTATTGTTTTGAATGTGTTAATTGGACTAATCGGTATCTCCACTGATTAGGAAGCTTTGGCTTAGTTGATTGTCATCTTTTTAAGATTTTAGTCTTAGAATGGCTAAGGTCTGACCAGTGGTCATAGGTTCAAATTTTCTTCCCTTATTTATAATTTTTATTGTCCTTGTGACTCTTTTGACGGATAAAAAATTATTAATAAAAAAAAAGACAAATTAGCTCAATATAGGCTACTCTCCTCTCCCGTCCTCTCTTCTAGAGTTTCTCCAAATTTTTGGCCGTTTAGGTCGATAATAGTCTAATTTCTTCGAAAATTAGACTATTTTCAACCCTTTTCCCTTATTTTTCTTTAGTTTTGCAATTTAGTTTTCAATAAATCTATATGAGTAGTGTATATATTCGTCCGTCTCCCTATGGTGGAGTCGTTAGTTTTTGTTAGTTTTGTTGTTTGTTTTTATTTAGGGGTTTTTTTTTATGTGTTAGGGTTTATAAAAGAGGTAATCAATCTTTTGCCCTATTATCAGCTCGTTGGTAAAGAGTTGTCCGGGATCACAACGGTTGTCAAATCTTCAAAGGCGTTCAAGTGAATCAGATGAAAATCATCCTCACGGCTACAACAAATCGTTAAAGCGTCTCTCTGAAAAGGCTGTATGTTCCAGCGATGTGTGCGAGAGATGTGTGCCACATTGCAAGATCTATTCATCAACGACTGTAGCTTTAATGAAGGAAACCCTTATTTGATTTAATTTTATGTATTTGTTGATTTAGATTTCATTTGTAAATGTTGTATGACTTTTGATTAATGAATTGATTTATTTAAAAAAAAAAAAAAAAAACCTCCAAATGACATTGGCAAAATCAAAATGGCTTAAGTATCTAGAGCTCATTGTTAAGATTTAGCTCATCAACTGATTTGTTTTCTTATATGACATGATAAGATTCAGCTCATCAAGCGATTTGGATCCGTGTATGACATGATTCTTCATTGATTAACGAACTAATTAAGGATGATTTTGAATATGGATTTTTCTTCCCTATATTACTATTATTATTGATCTCTTTCCTTGATCATTGCTTTAATATCTTTTATTTGATTACGTAGTGCAAGTGTAATAGCATAAGAAGCAACAAGTACACACCACAACCACAACCACAACCAAGTAGAACTAGAGAGAAATCATTGGAGACACAACAGTTCATTTTGGTTGTTGATCTCCTTCTCCTCAATTAAATGTTTTCTCCTACAAGCTATTTAGCCAAATTAACTTGATTTTGTTGATTTGTGATTTTGTCTAATCAAACTTTCAAACCTAAAACTAAATCAATAAAATTAGCAATTCAAACTATGATTTGAAGATTTTAGGGCTCTATGGTAGTGGTTGGCATTAGAGGCAGTAGCTATGAGATGATATTACGTCAATGTTGCCGAAGTAAAATCTTGTTTTCTAATACACCAAACTAGACTAAACATATCGTGACTTGATAAATAAAGATCATAAAAACACATTTTATTTTAAGTAAAGAGAACAAGTTACGTATATAACTTGTACTAGATCTTATCACAAAGTTGGGTCAGGCTAATAACATGCAATGCAAGGTATGAGTTATTTAAGCCTTTAAAATCGTATCAAGCCTGACCAAATTTACGGGTCACACTTGAAAAGAAAAAACCAAAGATTCATGCATTTTAGATCAAAATAGGTCGGGTTGGATTTCTTTGTGATTTCTAATTCACACTACATTCTGTTACTTTTTTATTTTTATTTTTTTAGAGAGTTACAAGGGCACGTGATGAGAATCGATCTCAAGATTTTTTGTGACCAGAAGGGAAGCTCTAACCAGTTGAGTTATCCCCCACTCTCACTACATAGTGTTACATCCTTTCTTATACATTTGTTGTATAAATCCACATACAAAAAGGAAAAATTGATTCTAATAATCCCACCTTTAGTCGGTTCGCTGTTAATAATCCCACCTTTATAGAGGATCTTCATCTATTGGTTCTTATGACCGGTATCCTATATATTGGGTAAACATTTTTTTTAATTTAAGTGACACGTGGCACTAAATAATTGGTCAAAAACTAAAAAAAAAAAAAACTCCCCAACAAGTCAACGACCACCAAAGCCTCCAACCTCCGGCAGCCTCTCCTCGGCTCCTCCCCATCCCCACCGCTGGAAACCCCATCCCCATCGTCGAAATTCCCATTTCTACCGCCGGAACACCCATTTCCACTTCCTCCTAACAAAAACCGACCTAGCTCTCCCCTAAAACCACCTCGATTTTCAATAAAAAAGTAAAAAAAAACCTTCAAGAGCGGTTAGAGGGGGTTTTCGGTGGAGTTTTGGGGGTGTATAGGTGTTTTCGGGGGAGTTTCGGGGGTTTATGGTGGTTTTCGACAGAGTATCGGGGGTGTATAGGTGTTTTCAGGGGGAGTTTCGGGGGTTTATGGTGGTTTTCGGCATAGTATCGGGAGTTTATGGCGGTTTTCGGCAGAGCTCCGAGGGTATTTGGCTATGGTGGTTGTGGTGGTTTCGAGTGTGGGTTTGGGTCAGGGGTTGATTTCAGTGGTGGATTTGATTAGTAGGGTGGTTGTTGATTCTGGTCGGCAGTTTTCGGGGGTTCATGGTGGAGGTCGACCGGTTTTCGATGGGGCTAGGGTAAGGGTTAGGGTTTCACGGTGGGTGGAGGGGTGGCTGGTGGATTTTTTTTTTTTTCATTTTTTAATTTTTTTTTTTATTTTTCAACCAATTATAAAACGACACTTGGCATTTTAACCTATCAAAACCAGTTACCAACAAGTTAGGGACCAATAGAAGAAGATCCCCTATAAAGGTGAGATTATTAAATAATAATCCAAAGATAGGATTATTAATAGCGAACCGGCTAAAGGTGAGATTATTAGAATCAATTTTTCCTAAAAATAAAATAAAAATTAAAATCAAAATTTTTTTTTAAAAAAATAAATAAATAAATAAATAAAATAAAATAAAATATAGGAGGTTACACTCGGTCACTCTTGGTTAATGGTTACGTATCTTAAAATTTTTTTGACTAGTTTGAATCTTGAAAACCCATAACCTAAAGCCTAAAAACCCCCAAAATGCCCAAGCGGCAAACATAACCGACTTACCGTTATTCCCCACTAACAAAACCGTAATCCCCAAGTAAAACCTTAATTTAACCTTAATCCCCACTTAAAATCCTTGATCCCCAAGTAACACTTTAAACCCTAACCCTTAAATACCTCTGTTTTCCCCTGTCTCAACCTCCCCTGTTTTTTTTCCCTCTTCTTCTTTCTCTCCATTTCTCCAATCAAAAAAACATGGTTAAACCTCGTACTCACGATTGGTCAGAAATGAACAAAGATATCCTATCTTTGATCATTAAACGAATCAATAAACCATCTGATCACATTCGAATCAGCGGTGTATGTTCGTCTTGGAGATCAATCGCTAAGTACAATCGCTACACCTTATCACACCCAATCCCTGGCCTCATCATCACCATTTCACGTAAAACCCATCACCGGAAATTCATCAATTTCCCACCGTCCGATCAGCATTATCACAATATCAACGTCCCCTGTTCTCACCGGTGTCGCGGCTCGTATTATGGTTGGCTAGTCCTCACCGTAGACAATCATAGCTCGTCTAATTCGATATACCTACTTAATCCTTTCATCAAACGGCGTCGTTGGCTTCCAAGAATTTCGGAAAATGTTGAAAAGGCGCTTCTTTCTTCTTCTCCTTCGTTTGACTCCAAGTGTGTCGTTTTGATACTTTATGAAGTACAAGGTGCTGCGTTTTGTAGGGTTGGTGATGTTTCTTGGACTAAGTTGCATTTTTTGAGTTGTGAAGATGAATGTGGGTTTTCTGATGGTTTTTTTTTTAAGGGAGGATTTTATGTAGTGAATGATTATGGTAAGATATACACTTGCAATCTTGACCGTTGTTTGATTAAGGAGATTTCATCTCAGCCGTCCGATGTGTCGAAATTTGTAAGGCAGAAATATTACTTGGTAGAAATTAAAGGGGAGCTTTGTAGGGTACTTAGGAGATTTCAATTTAATGAAGCATTTTATTACGAAAATGCCAGCGATGATGAGGATATTTACGATAATGCCCCCTATGTGGATCCTTCGATTTCGACCCGGGAGTTTCGGGTGTGTAAAATGGATTCGGGTATTGGTAAATGGGTCGAGGTCTATGGACTTGGGGAGTATGCATTGTTCTTGGGTATGACTAATTCTATTTGTTTGTCTTTATTGGAGGTTAGTCATAGTGGGATTGAAGGGAACAAAATATATTTCACGGATGATAGACAAAGGAATGTGAAGGATTTCGGGTTTATTCGACCCGGAAATGATATGGGTGTTTATGATATGGATTATTCGGGTATCAAATCGATTTGTTGGATGCAACCCAATTGGTTGAAAACTTCGGATCCCTCTGCGGTTTGGGTTGCTCCTCTGCCTTGGTAGAGAAATGTCACGCAAAATGCATGTACGTAGTATTCTCTAAGAACATTTTTGTTTTGGTACATTGCATACTATGGTATAGTATAGGAAGATTCATGATTTAGTGCATATCATTTTTGGAAAATCCATTTTTGGTGTATGTAAATTAATCTCGTAGCTAGGTGGATTGTTATTGTATAACTCACATTTTTCAATTTTGTTTGATAATAGTTATGATTCTTTGTACTATATTTTCCCAAATAATTGAGGTATTTTGAATTAGTTTTTGATAAATTTGGTATATTAGGAATACAATACAATATTTGAGGGATTTACATTACTAGCTAGTGTCAAACTAAAATTTTTATGCATGGACTATGGAAAGTGTTGATATATATGTTGATTGATCGAGTATGACAAGAATCATATTCTGTTAACCCTCGTCCTCACCTTTTTCATAAATTATTGTGCTTCAAGTTGGAAGTAGATGTATTTTTAAACGTAATTAATATTTAGCGTTATACTTTCATATATTAAATAAATTGCCTTCTGCAAAAATTTAAGCGACTTACATTAATAGTATCAACCCAAAATTCTAAAATATCACAAGGATCCTATAAATAATTTATGTTTTGTCTTGTCAAGAAAACAAAAAAAATTAAAATAAATAAATAAATAAAAATTCATGTTTTGTAAACTCCCGGATGTCTCATTTGTCATTTTCATCACCCATAACTCCATAAGCATAATTTTGGCTATCAATCAATTGATGTTCATTTTACTGGTAGCTCATAGAGTTCACATAGTAATACTCTAAATCTGTAATGGGCCAAGTCCTTCAATTTGGGCAATATTGGTATCCATTGTGCCATTGGCCCTTGACCTATAGGGCACAATCATGAAGTTGTGGTTAAATGTTGGGTTCTTTAGAATTTATCAAATATTTTTTACATGCATTCAGATGTATATAGAGGAAATTGCATTCAAAAGTTTATGTATTCAACTAGATTAGTGCCATGCGATGTACGATAGTAATAATATTTTTTTTCACATAATTAATTTGTGATATAATATAAAAATGAAGCAACTCATGTGGAATTAACAAATGCAATGCATATAAGAAATATGAAATAATAAGGCAAAAATTATTAAAAATACAATTGAAAAAAATATATATATATTTTTATTGTGTTGAAATTATTTTTAAACAGTGTACATTGTATTATATTAATGATGCATGTTATTCCCAATATATAAAAGTACATAATATAAATGTCGTATGGCTTCTTATAATATATATACAATGTACTTCCAAAAAATAAGCTAAGTAGAATAATTTTTTTTTTAATAGAAAACTTAAAGCTGACATCATATATTTTATTGGCGAGATTTTTTTTTAATGATAACTTGAGATATGTCCAAAATGATCGATGTAAGCATACCTATTTTAGTAATAGTTAATAGATTTTTTGAAGGGAAAAAAATGTTATAAGTTGGTAAAATTATTACAGAAATATTTAACAGAAAACTCACTCAATTATTATTATTTCGTAAGATTTCAAATCAATACCATGAATAGAAATGTTTTTTCTTTTTAATTATTGAACCCCACTATTGTACAACTATATAATGGTAATTTAAATGTTAATACTGTATTTTTGGCCCCATTATTTTATACTATCCATCATTTTTCAACCTTCTAAATAATAGCTTATTCTTTCTTAATTAAAAGGTTTCAAAATCTTGTGTAACTATTTTAAGTAAATAGAATACGAAATAAAAAGGAATACAATTATTATAAAGATAATGTATAAGATTAAGAATAATATATTTATAGTTGTATTATCCAAATATTCCAACAATAAAAGATTTTTGCTAAAAAGGGAGAGGAGAGTTTTGGAGGGAAAAAATAGCACCAGGAAGTTACACGTGTCATTCCTGATGTCTGTTTTAGTATTATGTTATTGATTGATTGATTATTGATTGATTGATACAGAATAATTTTTTCCATGCTTAACCTAAACGAAGAAGAATGGAAGAAGAGACTCGGTATCTTAAGTTCTTAACCTCTTGATTTAAATTTGGGCTAAAAGCGCCTATAGATCATCATAGGCCTTAAATGAACTTTTTTCTACTCATAAACAAATGGTCCAATAAGGAATGAAAATATCATACACAAGGTGGTTTGCATAAATATGCACTTTATTCAAAAGGATCGTAATTCTTATAAGTTACTGAGTATGAGTTATGCATAATAAATTTGAAATCATGATTCCAATCAAAGTTGTTTGGGCCAAGTTCATTGTCCAAAGCCCAGTAATCTGAAATAACAAAAATACCCCTTCATAATCCAACCCATCATTAGTCATGATAAAGTACAAATTTACCCCTAATTTCTCCACTCAAGTACAACTTTGCTACTTGAAAAGTACAACTATAAATAGCTTATCATTCATTAATGATGAGGACTATTTCCTAATTCTCTCTCCTTCTCTCTCTACTTTCTCTCTCTAGAAAGTACACTCGCTGACTGAAGCATTAGAGGGGCTTTCCCGGGTCACACCCCCGGGGCAGCTAACCTTCTCCGTTTTGCAGTCCTAGCTCTCGGACATACCTGTGCAAGGCGGAAGGCGGAGCTCTCGGACATACCTTTGCTAGGCGAAGCCGAAGGACATTTGGACAATACTTGGACTTAGTTTCTAGGACATCTTGATACCCTACCCTAACACTATGAGGAGTAGTCTATTTCCAGAAACAAGTGGCGCGTTTGTGGGGTTAACAAACTAAAAGCCATGGTGAACGCTAGGCGTCCCCGAAAGTCTCAAGATGCTACTAGACAAGCTCCAATTCTCTCGGCTTGGCATGCTCATATAGTCGAAGAGATTGTACCCCAAGCTTGGAGCGAGCCCGTAGGAGAGGTGACTAGCCCCCATGTAGTCACTTGTCGGGATTCGGAGCAGCTTGCAGCCTAAATCACCAAAACCTTGAAGAGAGACTTAGGGCACTTGTCAACTAGGTCGGGGGGGGGGGGGGCAAGGTAGGTTGGGGGACGCTCCTCAGCTTAACCCTCAGCCTCACTTGTCCCTACTCCATCAAGAATCCTCTCGGCCTCAGCACCAAGAGTCCCATTGTTCGCGACCACGTCCATCTCCTGTAGCTCGGCGGGAGTCAGGACAGCAAGCCGACCAAGAGATGCTAGAGAGATAATCAATGACCGAAGGTTGAGGGAAGGAACTTTGGATGCCCGTGATATAATCAACTCAAGGCAGGAAAAATCTAAGGAGGAAGATGATCCACCCTAGAGAGGTCGAACTAGAGTTCACTCTCAGCATGACTTAACCAGATACCGTGATAGCTTAGCTAATGACAGGCTAAAGTCGTATCACCTAATCAAAAGTAATTCCTAAGTCCTCTAACTAAAGTAGATAGGGAAGTAGGGTCGAATCCACAGGGAAATAATGTTCTTTTATTCCTAATCAATTATTATAATCTAAATTATCAAGTAACCAATTTGTATTGTGGGAATTAAACTAACAATTAAACTAAGCAAATTAAATAAGGGAATAACCAATAATAAAAGGCCTAGGGTATAGGTTCACCAATAAATAATACTCCAGGGTAAGAACATAACAATCAATTATCAATGCATAAATTAATCAGATCATAAAGGGCTTTCGCTACGTATTATAATCACAGAATTAATCTACCGGTATTAAACCGCATCTCTCGAATCTTGACTTAACCATTTATAAATTAACCTGCCTATTGAAACTAAGCCTAAACATCAATTCTCATCTCTCGAGTCTCAAATCGATATTGCATAACTCATACAATTAAACCTGGCCAAATCTAATTGCATAGCATTAAATCAATCAATAGGAAATCAATCAAGCATTAACAACCAACAATAAAAATTTACCCCTTCATATTATTTATGGATCCCCACAAACCCTAGAATTAAATTACTCATACATAATTAAATTTCCACTAATCAAAACAATAAAGCAAGACATAATTAAATCAAAGCAATTAAATTACTGAAAGTAAAGAGGGAAGAAATCGTTACCAAAATTAATGGAAATAATGAATTTCATAAAACTCAAGAGTGTAGAGAGAGAAAGTGTAGAGAGAGAAAGTAAGAGTATTAACAAAAGCTTAAACTAATAATCATCCGTAAAATAAGTAAAGAGTGTGAAAAACCGTCCTTAACTTCCTAAAATAATTCGTATTTATACTTTGGCTAAAAAGATAAAACAAATTATATCTTTAAACTCCTTCAGAAACACGCGCCCGGTCGGGCAGCATCTCGCCCGGTCGGGCGCGCCTTGGGGCGAGCAGCTACTCTCTTCCTTCTTCCTCGCCCTATCGGGCGCGCCTTTGGCCGAGCTCCCGGGCAAGCTTGGACTTCTTCAATTGGGCCGTTTCTTAGCCCAATTCGCATTTCCTCTTTGGAATATGAATACATAGTCTATTGCCCCGGACTCTTCTTCTTCGCCGGGACCTTAATCACCGATTTGATGACTCCAACCGATCCTGGGCTTCGGAATATGGTCATATAAATGCGACCTTACTCCAATGCTCGTAGTGGCTCCAATAAATCCAGGAAAATGCTCCAAATTTGCAATTTTCTATAAAACAATACCAAATCTACGAAAACACTAGAAAATGCATATTAGTAACAAAAGTAGCTCCGTAGAGCTCAAACAAACACAATTATGACCATTGGGACGGGGAATAAATATATATATAAAATAGACTTATTAGCTAACTCGACCACTTTAAGACAAAGAAGAAGGACCTCCGCTCGGCCTGCTCGCTCAGCAAGTGGAAGTCCTGAACATTCCCCCTCTCCTGAGCCGGCGAGGCTTGGAACTGTTAAGAACATCACTCCTTTCAGCCAAGAGATCATGAATACCCTGATTTCAATTCTCCAAAGGTCAAGATACCAACTTTGAAGCCCTATGATGGTAAATCTAATCCGAAAGACCATTTAAATGCTTACAAAGAACAAATGAGACATCTTGGTGTAGGTTCTTTCCTACCACCCTCAAGGGCATTGCTCAGACTTGGTTTAATAACCTTGTCCTGGGGAGCATCAAGACATTTGAGAAGCTATCCACCTTGTTCAAGAAGCATTTCATCGCTGGCTGTAGGCAGACAAAGACTAGCGTTCACTTGA